GTTTGGAGGGAAAAAATATATGTATACATAACTAAGACATGTTGAATATATATATATATATAAAAAACTAGGACACATTGAATCTGATATCATAAAATCATTCTTCTTTCAAGTTAAAATGTTTATGGGAATTACATGATATGCTTTAATTATTAAAATGTAAAAAATGCAACTCAAAACAGGTAAACATGAATTCAGGAGCTCCTATAAATGATGTTTTGAGTTAAACTGCCACATCATTTCCAAAAAAAAAAAAGAAAACTACATTTCTGAGAGTTGAACACAACCTGTTACTACTTTCTATGAAGTGCAAGCAACTACATTTTCCATTCCTTGAAAATAAATAAATAAAAGTAGATTTAATCTTAAGCAATCAATGACATCTCTTATTTACCCTTATTTAAAAGGTTGCTATGGGGCAGTGGAGCAGGCTATTGTTTGGTTTGTTTGTTTGCTTGTTTGGGTGCTCATTTTGGCTTCTCCCAATAGATTTTTTTTTCCTCTTAGCTAATTTTAAGATTCCGAAACTCATGACATGTCACAATTAAACATCTCCTAGGAAGTGCACAGTCTGACTAGCTCATTAATTCAGGCAAAAACCAGCCGTGACCATGTTGCCTCCAGTCTGGATCAGACCAGTCTGGGAAAAGATAATCATGATGAAAAGCCACAATAAAACATATTAATCCCAGTGTTATTTTATCTTCCAGCAATTAAGATCTTATTTTTTCTGTCAATTCATATGTATTTTTTTAGTCTTTAATTTTATTCTGAGAATAGTAACCCTGAAATAAAAGTGGATATTCTAGTTCTGAGAAGTAAATACTTTCATCTTCATTCTCAAAGGTTTTCACCTCCAGAAAAGTCAGAAGATGAGACAGAAGCCAGGGAGATTTTTATACTTCTATACCAATAATATTTACTTATTTATTTATTTTAGAGGAAGGGTCTAGCTGTGTTACCCCTGCTGAAGTACCGTGACCCAATCATAGCTCACTGCGGCCTCAAAACTCCTGGGCTCAAGCAATCCTCCTGCCTCAGCCTTCCAAGTAGCTGCAATTACATGCATGTGCCACGACGCCCAGCTAATGTGTGTGTGTGTGTGTGTGTGTGTGTGTGTGTGTGTGTATTTTTTTGTAAAGATGGGGTCTCACTTTGTTGCTCTGACTAGTCTCAAACCCCTGGCTTCAAGCAATGCTCCCACCATGGCCTCCCAAACCAATGATTTTTGTAGTTCCACAACTTCACATCTGTTGACAATTCTTGCTTAGTAGAGGAGGAGCAAGAGGACTACCCATGTCCCGATGTCTCTTTTACTGCCTGGTTAGTTGGCTACATATTATTAAAATCAATGTCACTGGTGTCTTTTTTCTTTTTTAATGTGCTACTGGAAAACTTTAAATTACGTATATATGACTTGCTGAATATTTCTGTTGGTCAGCACTGGTAAAAATTAATACTAACCAGTGGTATAAGTATCTGAGATGGGCCAGTGAAGTTGTTCAGAAAAGCTATGTAGTATGACGAAAAAGCAGATGCCAGACAGGGATGTATTCAAATCCTAGCTCCTACACTGACCATTCAAAGGGATTTGAGTGAGTCATACAGCTTCCTCAGCCCATGTTTCCTCATAAGTAAAACAGAGAGAACAGTTTCCTAGCTTAAACAAAACATTTGTAAAATTCCTGGCATATCACAGGTATAAATAAACATTTGAATAAAAAGTCATTCTTAAAAGAAAATAGAGATTTTCAAGCAGTTACCAAGAATTAACTGCTTCTCATTGTCTGTGTCTTCCAATAAATGGACCACATTCTGTGGGTCCTTCCTGCCTATAATACTAGTACGACTTTGTTATTACCTTACCTTGCACAGATGAATGATAGCAGCTTTATAGTCAATGCTATTACCAAAATGTTCAGCAATGAAAGTATTATTTCTATTTGCGTTTTAAATGGTACAATGAAATACATTTCCAGAGATAACATCATGATTTTTACAAACCTAAAATCCACCTAAAAGAGACTTATACCTAGACTCTCTTCAGGAATCCCACACGTCTATAGCAGCGGGACCAAGTGTTTGAAAAGTTCTAAGATGCACCCCCCTAAGATGCTAGGTTCATAATATATAGTTATTAAAAATGTAAGACATGAGAGTCAGCAATATTTCTTTAAAAACTAATTCTATCTCTTTGTTATACTACATTTCTTTGCAATTTGAAAAGTGCCTGCAAATTGTTACTCTATGAAATAATACAAGAGTCATTATAAGATTAGAAAAGATAAGCCTAGGACACAAAATTAAACACTATTTCATAAATTATAAAACTGTAGGAGTTTCTTTTCCAATTAAAAGTAATATACAGACTGAAAATACCTATTCCAAAATAGCTTAGATAAATTAATGACTAGAAAGTTCATAACAGGTAATTACTGAAAAGTTTATAGGTCATATTTCATCTCTCAGCATGTAGAAAGACCATTCCTTTCCACAGTGATTCTTGGTAAAATGAAGAATACTTACTAGATAGCTCAAATGTCAGTTCACTATAATTATTCTTGTGTGTTCATGAAAACTAACTTATAACAACCTCTCCTTTATTGAATCTGTTTCTTATCCTTTTTGCTCCTAGTCTTCTATTTGGTCCTTTTATCATTTTTTTTTTCATTCCCTTGATCAATATTTATCAAGCCCTATGTGCCAGCAGTCCTTGAAGCTCATTAGCCTGTCTATTATTCAAGCAGAAGCAGTGAAGTGGGATAGAGAGGTGAAACACAGTTTTAAATGTTCTCCAAATTTGTTGGTTTATGTTTCTGTGCATATGTGATCTTAATCATATCTGCCTTATCACCAAAATAAATTTGAAATTCTGTTATACAGTAAGTTCATAAAAATTAAAGTGTTGGTTTCCAAAACAATTATTTAAAAAAAAAAAAAAGATGTTATTTTAGTTTATACTATGTCACAGAGCTAAAATCCAAAGTTCAGTTATGGCTTTCTAGGTTATTGCAATAAATTTCCAATTCTTAGATTTTATATTAATACAAATACCTCATGACCCAGAGCAAATTTTACTATTGTATATCTAAAGACTTTTCTCCAAGTTGTTCATCAAGTTATGTAATAGATGTGATAACACTTCCACTGAAAAACGTCCTATTCATTAACTTACACCTAAGGGGGAAATACTAGAAAACAAAACTAAAAAGTTATCAAACGTCATGTGTTTATTAGAAGAAACCTTCACTTGTTTATTGAATTACAATTATTTATTTGTTGGTTTTTCCATTATATTGTAAAGCAACTTGAGGGGCAAAGTTAGGTTTTACTCTCTGGGTGCCAATCTGAAAAGTATAGGTTTCAAGACAGTTCCTGGATTGGATGGATGAAAGAAATAAACATTCAAATTGAAGAGTTACCAATAAAATAGGTTTAGCTTTACAGACAATTTTTTTCCAACCCATTGGCTTAAAACCTAGAAGTTAAACTTTATAAAGTATGTGATCAACAGATTATGATATTACTTTGTTGTATAAATATTAATTAATTAATTCAACTGCAACTTGTTGCAGGCTTAATATGTGCCAATCACTAGTCTGGGTACTGAGAATTACAGATAAATAAGATCCGTCCATGTAAAGAACAGAACAGAGAGCTGGTTCCACTGAATTTGTCTGAACTCATCTTAATTTTAAGTAGTCATGAAACCATGAAAAAAAAAAAAAAAGCAGAATGTGTTTTTTATTCTCCCCCGACCCCAAAATGCAAAATCTGTTTTTTCAGATTCCTTAAGTTTTTGCAGTGTTTTACACTTTTTGCTTGTTGCTTAGAAAATGCAATCTCAACCGAGCTTGGTGACTCACGCCTGTAATTCCAGCACTTTGGGAGGCTGAGGCAGGCGGATCACTTGAGGTCAGGAGTTCTAGAGCAGCCTGACCAACATGGTGAAACCTCATCTCTACTAAAAATACAAAAATTAGCCAGGCATACTGGTACATGCCTGTAGTCCCAGCTACTCAGAAGGCTGAGGCAGGAGAATTGCTTGAACCAGGCAAATGGAGGTTGCAGTGAGCTGAGATCACTCCATTACACTCCAGCCTGGGCACTGCAGCAAGACTCTGTCTCAAAACAAACAAACAAAAAAACCAAAATGCAATCTCCTTGTACAAAGCAATATGCCTTCAGTGACACTATCTTCTGTTAAGCAGTCAAATAAGAAGGAGATGGAATGGAAGAATAAAATCAGAAACATCATAGAAAAGAGAAAAAGAAAAATATTAACATAAAATAAATCAGAAAAAATGTTTTGCCCAGTATCTTTCTCATATTATACTAGAATTCTGGAATATCATCAGCCACTAACCCAAAACAAGTACTGAGAACTGCCTAGAAATGAATAACCCCATTAGACCCACACTTTGTGAGAGTTGTCAGTAAAAGCAAACAGTGCAGAAATCCTCTGGATAAGCTCATGAGCAGGCTAAAAGCACTGATAAGAGTGAATTAAAAGCTTGTCACTGGTTGGTCCTTCTAGTGAATCAGATCCTTCAAGACACTTAGCAGCTGGCAATAAGTAGCAATTTTTTTGAAGGCACCAATAACCTGGTCTGGCAGGTTCATTCGTTTCACTTCAGCAGAAGTGAACCTTTGGTTCTTGAGAGAGTCAGTCTTTCTAACTTGTACAAGCGTAAATGATAAATCAAGAAAATGTGACCACTTTAGAGAACAACAAATGTTTCTAAAGTGAAGAGTGCACATTTCTTTAACGAATGGAACTGACCAAACCTGTAGCAAAGTCTGCCAATGTTAAACCCATTCCACCAGATCATCCAAGTTCAACTTACTTACCCCCAGCATCTGGTGGAGGTAGTGATACTCTGGCCCTTGGTTATACAGCAAGAAGGTTTTCCAGAAAAGTAGGACATTCATGGACAGCCAGATAAGCTAAACCAATCAGACATGAGAGACAGAAAACAAAAATTGAAAATAATTATTACCTGATGAATAGAAACCACAGGTAAATTCTTGGCCATGGTGCTTTCAATGGAACCTAAACCAGTAACTGCAGTAAGCATTTTCAATTAACCAGCAAGCTGAAAACCACTCAGAGGAAAACAGATCTGATTTTACCCGGCCCTTTCACCTGAGACTAAGTATTTGGGTTGCAAATAGGTCTCCTAAATGATTTACAGCTATCCCCTGCCATACAAAATGAGATTAAGAAATTAATGACATCACCATACCCCAAGCGAACAGAAGTAATCTGGGAAAAGAACAAAGGGAGCAAAAATGTTTAAAGGGTAAAGGAAAAGCTGTGTTCACTGAAAATGACCTCTTCTCTCTTCCTCCACATCTCTCTCATCAATGTGCAGAAAAATTCTCATGCATTTTGGGGACAGGCGCGAGGTGGAGGAGTGTTCATTGTTATCTCCAGCATAAAGTTTTGTTAGTGGAGAATGTTCGAATTAAGGCAAAACTTCCACTTCCAGCTTCCCACCCGTGCACGCTCAGAGAATGAATCAAAATCGCTGCAGGACAGAGAAAACGCACGGAGAGCCTAGCCCGCCATCCTACCAGGCAGAGGTGTTTAACCCCTTCGTTGGCTAGCCAGCTCCTCCAGGACACAGCCATGCCGCCGGCCCCGCCGCGCTGCGCTCTGTGCCCGCCGGCCCCGAGAAGGAGCGGGCGGCGGCCGGGGCAGCGGTAACAGTTGCACGGCCTGCGGGGCCGCTGAGCGAGGACCGAGGGTCAAAGACTGAGGGGAAGCCCGAAGACCCGGCGCCGAGCCAGCCCGGGCGGGGTCTGCTACCCAGAGCCGGGTTTTCCGGGTGCCCTGACTCCGACCCGCACCGGGTCAGCTCTGCCCACTCCGCTGCCCCGACGCCCAGCGCTCCGAGCGCGAGGGCCAGGCTGCACCAGTCTGCTCCGCCGCGCCGGCCCCTTTGTCTACGGGCGAGCCTGTTGTTGTGGCTGCTGCTGTTCAGGATGTCCCGGGTGGGAACTTGGAGGCGTCCCCCGCAGCCTCTAGCCCGGCCTGCCAGGCTCCAAAATACTGGCAAACATGTGAACAATGCTACTCATACTAAAAGTGGGGACCCTCGCCGCCCCGTCGTATACACACGCACACACACACATACACATCCAGCTCTTTTGGACTGGTTGTTTTGCCCCAAAAGAGTTCATCTCAAAGAGCCTTGGTAACGAAATTTGATCCGGAAACAGTCTTTTATGCACTAGCTCACATTTCTCCCACCCTTCCTCAGCAAATTATCCCACTCCCAAACTAAAGCCCCTCCGATAGCACTTACCTAAGGCTTCCCACTAGCCACCAGTTTCTTTATCCCCTTGCCCGCCCATCCCATACTGATAAAAAGGTTTTAAGACATTACTGAATAAGAAGAACCCAGGGAATTAATGGTTAAAGCTGATGTAATTCTTAGGGGCTCTAGGGGAACTTAGATTCACTGTATTCGGGAATCTTTTTGTTTTACTACTCAGTCTGTTCAGTAAGTAATAGGAATCCTCTCAATCTTGTACCAGAGGCCCAGTGAAGAGTGAGAAGGGTGTGGAGGTGACCCAGGTACCTATCCGACACTGCAACAAATCAGTATTAGAAAAGAGAGAGAAAAAAAAAAAATGTCATTCATGTAGAAAAGTATCCAATGCAAAATAGATATCCAGTAAAGGTTTGTTAAACCAAAAACTTTTCCAAATTTAACAACTAATGAGAGACAGAAAAAGTTTACTACTAGTTGCCTAATCAAATGGCTTTTAAACTCTTAAAAAAAAAAAATCTTACAAGATAGGCCATAGGATGTAATTAAAACTAAAATTTCAAAAAATAATACTATTCTCACTATATGCAATATACTTATTCCAATTAATTTAATGAACCGATTGATTGCAGTCCATAGTTTGAAAAATCAAAATGAATTCATATCAAGTCCCTGTTAGACTTCACACAACTTTCTAATAGGCTGTTTGTTTTTCTTGTTTCATGCATGACCAAATCCAGAAAGCTGTCCTGAATCTTTTTAAAGTTAGAGAGCATATGATTTATAAATAATACTATGTTCTTTTTAACCATGTGACACCTAAAGGATCAGGGAAAGAGCACACAAAGAACCCAAGGAGTCTCACCACTGGAGGGAAGTCAAATTCTGGGATTCACTGGTGCTCCTGAGGTTTAATTTCAATACATGGGGGCAGGAGGTTCATTGGCAGAATAGGTTCTTGTCATGAGTTGAGAAGCGTGAAGCAATTCAACAATAGTAAAATAAGAGACCATTTTTAAAAGCTAAGCGACTTTCAGAACAACAGCAAAAATAACAAAAAGACAAAAGATTTTAAAAGTGGTTCCAATTCTTAATAATGTACCTACTAAGTCTCAGGCTCTGCCTTTGCTACTTCATATACAAAATCTCACTCCATTCTCATAGTAGCCCTCCATGTGCGTGTTAGCACTCTCACTTTAAAGATGAGAAACGGACTGCCAGGTGCGGTGGCTCACGCTTGTAATCCCAGCTCTTTGGGAGGCCGAGGCAGGTGGATCACGAGGTCAGGAGATGGAGGTCATCCTGGCCAATATGGGAAACCCTGTCTCTACTAAAAATACACAAAGTAGTCGGGCGTGGTGGTGGGTGCCTGTAGTCCCACCTACTCAGGAGAGTGAGGCAGAAGAATCACTTGAACCTGGGAGGCGGAGGTTGCAGTGAGCTGAGATCGCACCACTGCACTCCAGTCTGGACGACAGAGTAAGACTCTGTCTAAAAAAAAAAAAAAAAAAAAAGAGAAATAGAAGCTAAAAGAGATGAAGAAACTTGCTTGAGGTAATGAAACTGGGCTTGCTTACAGTTAAAACAACCCATAATCAGGTACTTTTGTAAAATTCTTTAGTAAAATGATAGAATGCCTATATAAATGTTGGTTATTAACTATGGCTATTATTTCATAACTCTGTAAAAGGGGCCTGAGATTTGTTTATGTTGCTTTACCAGGAAACAGTACTCCAAGCCATCCCCAAGGGACAGAGCTAGTGTCCTGTTATGTAGGAACTCTCATTAATGAGATTCTTTGCAATACAATTTTCTCTAAGCCAGATTGTTTTATTATTATTATTATTATTATTATTATTATTATTATTATTTTAGATGGCGTTTCACTCTTGTTGCCGAGGCTGGAGTGCAATGTCGCAATCTCGGCTCACTGCAACTTCTGCCTCCTGGGTTCAAGCAATTCTCCCACCTCAACCTCCCAAGTAGAGTAGCTGGGATTATAGGCATGTGCCAACCCGCCCAGCTAATTTGTGTATTTTTAGTAGAGATGGGGTTTCACCACATTGGCCAGACTACTCTTGAACTCCTGACCTCAGGTGATCCACCGGCCTCAGCCTCCCTAAGTGCTGGGATTACAGGCGTGAGCCACCATGCCTGGCCAACCAGATTGTTTAATGACATAGTGGCTGTATTTGCAAAACTAGGAAAGGCCACTCTTGAAAGTAATGAGGACAGTGTTCTGCAGCTACATCAGTATTTAAAATATTATGAGGAAAATCACACTTTTGCCAGGAACAGACTTCACGATAAAAACTCAAATGACAGATACCTTTGATTTTTGGCTGAAATAATGGTAAGCTAGTGGTATAACACTGATCTTCCTATGTTAATTGTAAAACCCATTGGCAGTTAGAACTGTTCTTGATCTATTATATATTACTTAAACACAGAAACTTTTTTGTAGAGAGTGTTTTTCAAAATATGAAATGCACAGCTGTTAAAAAAGAGAAAAAATACAATACTCTTTGCACATAATCATTACTGCATTTTCCACTAATTAACTTAATTATATGTATATGAGTGTCTAATTATCCTACTCAACTGAACTTTTTAAGGACAAAATCTGGTCTTATTCCATTTTTATTCTAGGACTTAGCACAAAGCTTGACACATAGTAGGAATTTACACAATGTTTATTAGATGAAAGAATAGTGGTTAAGTAAATCATCTTTCTTTTTGTGCCTTTCTCAAATCCCAATTTCTTAAGTGTAACTCTCTGATAATGTAAAAATAGTTTCTGCTCAGCTTGACAATTACCAGAAAAAGTAAAGAAATGGGGCAATAACCCCTTAAAATGGATGTTACCAATCCCACAGGTTAAATGATAGGAATTTAAGACAAGTGGGCCTTTCTATTAGTTTCCTATGGCTGTGCTAACAAATCACTACAGACGTCCTGGGCTGAAACAACAGAAATTTATCGTCTCACAGTTCTGAATTTCAGAAGTCTGAAATCAGTGTTATTGGTTCAAAATCAGGGTGCTCACCGGATCACAATCTGTTCTTTTCTTCTTTTGAGACAGGATCTCTCTGTGTCACCCAAACTGGAATACAGTGGTACAATCACAGCTCACTGCAGCCTTGACCACCCAGGCTCAGGTGATCCTCTCTCCTTAGCCTCCAGTGTAGCTGGGACTACAGGTGCATACCACCATGCCTGGTTCATTTTTGGTTTGTTTGTTTTTTGTTTGTTTGGTTTTGTTTTTTTGTTTTTGTAACAACAAGATTTTGCCATGTTGTCCAGGCTGGTCTCGAACTCCTGGTCTCCAGTGATCCACCAGACTCAGTCTCCCAAAGTCCTGAGATTACATGCATGAGCCACCATGACCAATGCAGCATCTTTTCTGATGTTTTAAAGAGAATGTGTTCCTTGTTTCTTCCAGATTCTAGTGGATGTTGATATTCTTTGATTTGTGGCTGTATCACTCTACTCTCTGCCTTGGTGGTCACATTGCCTCCTTCTCTTCAATCTGTGTCAAATCACCCTCTGCCTCTCTCTTGCCAGGACACTTGTGATTGTATTCAGGGTTCACCCAGATAATCCAGGATAATCTCCCTATGCAGGATACTTAAATGTAATCACTTCTGTGAAGTTCCATTTTCCTTATAAGGTAACTTTACAAGTTCCTGGGATTAGGATAAGTTATCTTTAGGTGGCTATTATTTAGCCTAGGATAGCACCTAAATTAACCTAGATCATCTTAATTTTCTTTCTCTGATTGGATATGCTAGCCTTAGAATAAGACTTCTGAAGAAATTCACCTTAAAGAACAAATGTTTGGGATTCCTAGCTAGCATTTCCATCAAGAAGTCAAAAATTATAGACCAGGAAACATGCCTGATAGAATTCGGTAAGATTTCTTAACCATTATAACTTGATATAGTTTACCATTTTTGTTATTTCATGTCTGATTACCAGGAGGGATTAGTATTAAAATTCAACGTAAAAAGAGCCTGTGTGTTTTTTCAGGAAGAGAAAAGAGGAACCTAGGAAAGCTCCATCCCCGTATACAGCATAAACTTGTAGAGTGAGTAAAAGAATTCTAGAGGTCTGAGTAACCGAAAAGGACATTAAAGAGAAAAGGAAACTCCGTCATGTCCCTGAGGCCCTTGCAAGGAAGAAGGGCCCACCAGGGAGCCAGGGAAAAGTGGTCCAAAGGCTTAACATTCCCAAGTCAG